CGGCCTATAGCAGAATGAAGCCCAAAGAAGAATCAGCGGGTCGTGGCCCTTGCGGAAGAAGCTCGTCGCCGCTGACGCTTCACGGCGCTTCCCTACGCCAGCCATAACTCAGAGCCTAGGCTGAAAGTGCCTTCCGCTTTGGGCGATTTCTGGTCCGACGCGCGCTCTCAACTGGCCCATCCATATCCGACGCGGCCAAGCGCGTTTGGAGATCAAAACCCCGGCCGACGCGCGCCCTAAACCCTAACTCATTTCTTCCCTCTCCTCTCCCAACATAGCAAGCGGCAATGACAATGGCCACCACCACCAGCCGGCAGTTGGAGGAAAGAAGGTCGACATGGCGCCGCCGCAGAAAGTCCCTGCCACACCGTCGCTGCTTCACCCGAGTGTGAGCGTGCCGCCGTCGAGCGGTCTTCCTTCTTGTAGTGCCACGAGTCCGATCCCCCTAGGTAGGGTACACACTCGCGATGGCGAGGCCGCGCCCACGGCCTGGCTTCCTTCCCACGCAAAGCGGCGGCGGCGACAAGGTCTTGTCTTCTTCCCGCAAGCGAAATGGTGTGTCGACGGAGGCAAGGTAGGTTCCTCCCCTTTGTCCATCTTTTCCCCTTTATTGTTAGGGTTAGGATTTTGAAACCAAAATCGATTCGAATCCTCTCCTTCTTAATGCTTCTACTGTACTACCCCAAACTAGATCTACAGATAGATTCGGTGAACTGATATCATTGTTAGAACTGTAGGATCAACTAGGTATAGATCTAGCGGGTACAACTTGACTAGAACATGATGAACAAACCCTAGAACATGAACTACGAGATCTAGGTGGAGAAGAAGGAGAGGGGCGGTGGTCTCGACCTCTCCGAGGGCTTGGCGGAGGAGTCTGCTGGAGCCACCCATGGCGATGGCGCGGTGTGCGGTCCGAGTCGATGAAGGCGGTGGCGATGTAGTAGTGAAGTCCGATGACGTAGTCCGGTGGCGGCGAGGCAATGAAGCTTCTATCACTGGCTGCACACCCTCTAGATCGGATTAGGGTTATGTCGGTGGGGCGACTGTGGCTGGTTGTGAACCTTATAAAAAGAGCGGTGATCTCATCTTTTTTAAAGCTGCCGATCTCACCTTTTTGAACGCCTATAGCATAGTCACGATCCGTAATAAGGTTAGGAATCCACCAATCAGGTAATTATTGAATGCCCCTCGATCAAAAGATTAAATCTCGTAATTTATAATCAAACTATGTAATTAGGATCACAGATTTAATACTCCATACCAAAATATTTGAATTGATGAAAAGTTTAGAGATCATCTTGGTTGGAGATCATCTACCACGGACCTGTCCGCCTCGTGAGACCAGACGCCTGAGCCACTCGGCGGCGCATACTACTACACCTGCACCGCCACTCATGTCTCATGGCTCACCACCCTACCCGGCGACCCCACAGACAGCCCCAACTACTGTTGCCTGCGCTGTTCTTGTGCTCGGCCTCCGCGCGCGTACGGAGGAGTACCCACCAAAACCGAAACCAGGCCACTTGCCATGTGTGTACGAGGGGTACCACTGCACACCAGGCCCACCAGCGCAGTGTCCACTGGAACTCGTTCCCTGATCCATGACCTTTTGCGTCGTGTCCCAGTCCAATTCCATCTCGTCCCACGCACGAACCACTCCGCATTGGGAACGGTGCTCGCCCACCACGGACGGAACTATGTGGGGTCAAACTGGTCCGCCCCTCCCCTCTCCGGCTGTATCACTCACGAGGTTCGCATACATGCAATTAATTCATGCCTCTCTGTTGTGCTATGTTTATAATTGCTGATGAGTGGATCATAACTTATAAGTATGTAAATTCGTACATTGTTCATTCTTCTTTGACAGAATTTTAATTGTTTATTGCAGTCTATCAGTCTGTTCGCTTGGTCGTAAACGATCGTAAATTTCTAGACAGAATGGTATTTTTCTCTCACACCAACAAATTTGTTCACTTTTGTTTTTCAAATGAAATTCAAACCAAATGTACCAATAAAATGTTTTCTCTAAAAAACAAAGACCAAAGACCAACCAACCAACGAACATGCCCCCAAACCAGCCAGCAGTAAATATAATCCACGATCCTTTACGGCCTCCCGAACAGGCTGTATATAGATAGAACTTTAAAAAACAAAGATTTTTTCATAAAATTCCAATTGTCTATATTACTATTGATAATACTGTCGCAGTGTAGCTTTGAATTGACCCCTACACATTTCACATTTCATGCAAGCTCCGCCGCTGTCGCCCACGTCCATGCATCGTGATGCACGCGCCGGAGGAACTGTGTTCCGTTCCATTCCACTCCTCGTCTCCTCGCCACGGGCTCCAGCGGATGAATCGCGTGGCACCGAGAAGAAAGCCCTGCGGTGCGAGGCAGACACGGCGAGGCGTGCGTACGTGAGCGCTTGCCATGCGCACGAGGGCGCCTGCTGCTACTAGTTTAGTCCACCACTGATTGTCGGCTTGATGATACTACTTGACAACGGGCGCTTAGATCCTCGGAATCTCCCACTAAACAAACGGGTGCTCCATTTCCATCCCACTCCGGCAGGCCACCGGAACCGGTTGGATGTTCTCTTCTCGGTTCGAGATCGGCGAGCGCCCATGCTTTGACGATTCGGCGATCCATGTCGGAGCACGGGAACGTACAGTACGTGTCGCAGAGGATCCGCCCCTGCCCCTGCCTGCCTGCCTGCACGTTTGCACCACCACCGGCTCAGGTCAGGGTCGGCATGCCCGTCCGTCACGCTCACTCACAGCGTCTCGTCCGGCAGAGCGAATGGCTGGGGCCTGGCCCGCCTCGGCAATGGAGAAGGGGTGCTTTTTTGACCGGTTGGGTTCGGCCTCGGCCGGGTACTGAACAAGACGCTTCCTTGTCTGGACTCTGGAGGCAGGTGAGGTGGGGCACCACTGCAATCGCTTCTGCAGTCTGCACTCTGCACTCTGCAACCGCAGCAGCTTTGCTTTGCAGCGAGCGGAGCGGAGGGAGGACGAGCATTTATTACAGTACAGTGTTCCGCTGCTTGTCTGCTGCACCAGGCCCTCCTCTTCCATGCAACTATGCAAGGCACGAAGCACGCGGTGCACTGCGTTATCGTTCATCGCCCGTCGCTGCTGCAGTCTGTCTGTGCCTCTCTCTCTCTCTCTGATCTGAGTAGTACCGCCACGGTAAAAAAGAGGAAAAGGAGACCACTGTTATCGCGGTACCGTAGCGGTACATGTAGATATCCTGTCCCGTCACTCCTACAGCACTGCGGTAAACATTTAGGTCTTGTTTAGATTTTCTTCAAATTCCAATTTTTTCCACTTTCTCTCGATCACATCAATTTTTGAACATATGCATGAAGTATTAAATGTAGGTAAAAAAATAATTAATTACATAATTTGATTGTAAATTACGAAACAGATCTTTTGAGTCTAGTTAGTCCATGATCAAACAAAATTTATCAAATACAAACGAAACGTGCTACTGACTCAGATTACAAAAATTTGCAATCTAAACAAGGCCTTACAGTTTTACTCGTCCTACTGACTCCGTACCTATACCCAGTCAACGTTAGGCTGCGAAGGATTTCGCGTCAACTGCTTCTCCTGGTCCAACCTCCTGGTACGTACGGACTTATACAATTTATTTTCCTTATCAAGGAGAAATACTTCCAGCATTTCAAATATCATTCACATTCACATTATATATGTTGTCCTAGCTTTTGTAGCTATATACATACTACATCCGTACCTAGAAATATACATCCACCATTTCAAAATCAAATTATATAGTATTGTTCTAACTTTTCTAGGTATGCATACTACCTCAGTACCTAAAAGGGTCCAATTCTAGGTTTCGAACGAGTCAAACTTCTTCACTACCGAGTACGTGTTCATTGAATAAATTTTAAAACTCCGCATAAAAAATCTAGTGTTCATTGGATTCTACTCGTCTGTTCTAGATTACAAGTCATTTCAAGAAACCTGTTAGAGTCAAAGTTTAAAAAGTTGTGACCAAATTTATATAATAAGATAATAATATTTATGATACCAACTAGTATCATTAGATTCTTAATTAGTTATATTTTCATAGTATACCTATTTGATATCATAAATCTTTATGATTTCTTCTATAATTTTAGTCAAACTTAAGATGCTTTGACTCTCTAAGATTCTTTAAATGACTTATAATTTTGAATGGAGGGGGTATGTCTGTATATTAAAATCAAATATAATCCAACCTGTTTAGATAAGAATCTAAGATTTTTTTTAATTAAGATTTATAAATTCCCTAGGAACCAAATGGGCCTAAGTTTATAAAAAACTATCAATATTATATATTAATAAAAAATGTTATATGATTATCTAGCGTATTCGCTGTCACTCCAAATAGATATACTAATAAAACTATATTATATGATTATTAAATGGTACTTATTTAAAATTATAAATGTAAATATCTTTTATTATAGATTGGGTTAAACTTTTAGTTGACTTCTGGATAAGCAGAAATTACATCTAGTTTCAAATTATAAGTTTATGTACTACATATAAGCTAGAAAAATTAAAACAACCTCTAATTTGAATACTACTTTTTTTTCTTTTGAGCAATACAATACATCAGATAAAAAAAATATTTATTCCTCTAGCAGAACTGGTACATCACTCAGCAACAAACAGACGGCGCGGATCACCATAGGGGAGCAGCTTGCTATTGCGACATAGTACAGACCCGAGGAAGAGGACCAGTTATTATAATAACTAGTATAATAAGACTCCTGCTAATCTTGTCTTGTTTATGTTGCAGCTACAACTACATCCATCGTCTTTATTCTTGTTGTTATTATTCTTTTCCCCTGGAAAAACCCACTACTACGACCACGACGAACACGAATACGAATGCATGCTTGCTTGTTCGGCATCATCTTGGCAGCCTCGGGCGCGTCCATCCATGTCCATGCATCGCTACGCGAGCGCCTGGAACACATCATCAGCGGTAGCGCCAGTCCTGGGGCAGGGCCAGCGCCTGCGAAGCGCCGGTGGCCTGCTGCGGCTGCTGCTGCTTTGTCGGCGTCGCATGCTCGGTCTGCGGCTGCTGCTTCTTCCCCGTTGCCGGCCTGCTGGCAGTCCCAGCAGCCCACGGCTTTGCCGCTGCACCAGCCCAAGCCCCACCTGCGAAAACCACGTCAGCGCTTTCTTGCTTTCACATCTCGTGATTCTGTCGCCAGTGATGCTGCTGTAGCACAAGCCGTGTGGGAGGAGTATACTCCCTCCGTCCCGTTAAGATTGTCGCTCGGGAAGCGGGATTGTGAGGGGGGCACGGTTTTCCAACGACAAACTCAATGGGACGGAGGGAGTATGCAGCAGCCAGCTTCATAATCACAGTTATATCCAGTAGATATGGCTGCAGTTCGTTGTACTCCAGTAGTCCGCTGCTAGCTGGCATATTGAAACTTGAAGTCCTACCTATGCAAAGCAGTTTTTTTCGGTTTTATAAACCAGATTGTTTCCTGCTAATGATATCTTCTCCCATGCGCCATGGCTACAGCCACGTCGCCATGCATGCCATGCACCCACCTAGGCCCAGCCGGCCAGCCCCACTGGCATGGCATCAGAAAGTACAGGGGGCCCACAGTATCATCAGGTGCTAAACAACCCCTCTCTCTCTCTGGCTGCAGCCAACAAACCAGACCACGGCCAAAAGCACCATCAGCAACAGCATGTACTGCAGCGTCTGCAGGAAAACCCGGTGCGTGGCTGGTCTGGCTGCTGCCGCCATTAACGCCTCACACCGCTCAAGAACGCACGCAAAATCTCGGCAGCCAGTACCACCACTCATTTGCAGTTGGTACGCCGGGAGCAACCATTTATTGCCGATGAAATGAAACATGATGCACTGCACTGATCAAGCATTTGCAAGAGTAATCGAATGCATTTTTTGTTCGATGCCCAGATCAGATGAGACGGCGGCGCAAGAACCAAGATGGGGATACGCACACACGGATACCGAGACATCCGTCCATCCATCCATCCCACGGCGGCGGCGGCAGGCGCGATGCAACACATGGATCGGTAGGGGGGAATGCGAGTGCGCGCGTTAGGTACCTTTGGCCGTGGCCGGGGGAGTGGCCGGCGCGTAGCGGTACGCCTCGACGCGCGGCAGGAACACGCCGGTGCCGCCGCGCAGGTTCGCCGGCGGCGGGACGTGGCAGGGCAGAGCGGGGGGCAGCACCGGGTAGTCCAGCACGCCGCCGTGGTTCACCAGGCTGCTCCCGACCTGAAAACGACGGGGAAGGCACCAGCGATAAGCATCAGCAATCATCTAAAAAATTTCATCGGAATGCCGAACACGAAAAAAAGGATCCAACTCTCTATATGGCGTGTTCATGATTAAACCAATGATAAGGGTCATTACTTTCCAAAGGGGAAACAGGTTCGCTTAATTGCAAAGGATAGTTACAACCAGCTGTCGATTTTGTATGTAATCAGCGGCGGCGCCGCGGCGGCGGGGTTCCAAAACAAAACAAAACAAAACAGAGACGGAAAACCCCAAAAAAGAGAGAGGAAAACACCGAGGATTTTGGCAAACACAGCGGTCCACCAAGCATTATGAAAAAACAAAGAAAGGGGGAGAGGCGGCGGCGGCAAGCAGAATCCCGGCTGGTGTTGTTTTCATACCTGCCACTGGAGCTGCGGGTACGGCAAGAACGGCCAGGACACGGCGCCGGCACCAGCGCCGCCGCCATTGGTCGCGCCGCAGGACACGACGACGCTCCCCTCCAGCCCGCAGACCTGAAACCAGATGCCGTTGTTAGGGCCAGGGCCGGGGCCAAAGAAACGGAGACCACAATGCTGAAGCACGACCACTCACCTTGGCGCCGTGGCGCGGGGCGGCGGCGGCGGCGGGCGGGGCCGGGGGTGGCGGCGGGGCGAGCGGCCACACCTTGGACTCGCCGCCGAGGATGCCGGCGAGTTGCGCCGCGAGCTCCTCCACGGCAGCGGCGGCGGTGGCGGCCTCGGGCGTGGGCTCGGTGACGACGGCGGCGGCCTCGGGGTCGACGATGCCAATGTCGGCGAAGATCTCCCGCGGCAGCCAGCGGCGGTGGAGGTCGTCCGACTCGGGCGGGAAGCAGTCCGCCATGAGGGTGAGGGAGAGAGGGAGCAGACCGCAGGCGGGCGACGGACGCGCGAGCGAGCGAGCGAGCGAAAAGAAGCTGGTGGCGGGCGATGGAAAGGCAGGGGGTGGGGGGTTCTTGTAGGCGTGGCCGCGAGGACGAGGAGGAGGTGGGGGCGGCCGGTGGTGGGGCCGGACGGACTGCGGGGGCGGGGCGGAGGCCGCTCTGCCGCTGGCGTCGGGGCGTCGTGGGTTTCGTGGAGGGGCAGGGGCAGGACGGGGATTTCCTTGTGTAAACCGGGAGATGGTGACGGTTTCGTTTTATTTTCCTTTTCAATCTGGCGCGGGTTTTCCTTCTGTTTTCGGGGCCTTTCGTGTCGAGGATGGGCTTTTATCGTCGCCGCATTTGGCCACCTGAGTTTTTTGTGCTTCGCTGTTGCTGAGTTTGGCAATGGCAGGGTCACAATGTGTGGTGGGTGGGTGAATCTGCCGAGCGCGGCACGGATCCCGTGGTGAATTTTGAGCGAGCAGCTATATTTAGGTACTAGGAAAAGGTTAAAACATGCGAGGTTGGTTGGAAAACAAGGTGGTTTTTTCTTACCTGTGAAGAATCTTGTTCATAAATAGGTACTAGGAGTTTAGCGCGTGGAATGTGAGTGCGTGTATGCTCTAATTAGATTCAAGAACCACGTAGCTAGTTAGAAGATGAGGATCCCTATGTGTGTACTCTAATTAGTATAATATGAAAATGGCATGTGCTAGAAAAAAAAGAGACGCTATATTTGTGGTGTTTGAAATTTAACAATTTTCAGTTGAAGTGATACAAATCGAATGGCGGCATCTGTAACATTAGAACAACATCTATAACGTTTCGACACGCCATCGAAAATAATTGGAAATTTAAAGCATCTAGGATATAGGAGGGGTGAATAAAAGGAAATTAATAAAAGAAAAATGCTTTGTCGGTTCACATGTCACGGCGCTTTGAGATGTGTTGATAGATGTGCAAATCTGGAACGAGACTCGGCAGGTTGGATAGCCAGCAATATCCCACTCACTCCAGAGTTCACGCGCTACCGTTTTGAAAGAAATCTGCAACACTACAAAAACGGTTGCAGTTATTGTATTTGTCGTGTATGACTGATTTAACGCGTCCGGTTGTCGCGTTTACGTTGCTTTGAACGGTGTTTTGCTTTTTAGCGGATCCAAGGAGGATCAAGGAGAAGCGATCAACATGCCTTACAGATAGTCTTTCATAATCCTCCTTTTGTCTCCTCTTCACCCTTTAGAGAAAAACATAGGTGGTTCCAAAAGAAAACCTTCGTGTCTTATTATATTAATAATCTAATCGCAACATTCCCATTTTATTGTGTATATATTTAAAAGTGTCTTATTCTTTCATGATTTTCTCGGTACAAGCTAATCATCAATTTTTCCATTTCTATCATGTACATATAAACTTTAATTAGTAATTTATGTTCATGAAAGCATAGATTGTTTAGCAATCATGGGCAACTGACAGGGGTGATAAAGGTGATGTCGATTCACATATAAAAAGTGATTTGAGACGTGTCAAGGAATGTACATAAAAAGGAGCCAAACACGACATGTTTGCCATGAGGCTATGTCATTGTTGTACCTTTCGGAGGGAAATCCGCCGGAGTAAGCATAAAACGGTTGCGATTATTACACTACATTGTTTGAGTACCCCCGTCACATCCATGTCTCATGCTTATGTTTTGGAGTGCTTCCTGAGCAAAAGAGTTCACCTTCTAGCCACCGCAGAGACGCAATCGGCCAAGTCAATCCTTTATCAGTTTCAAAACCGCCCTCTTTTAGAGAGAAACATGGGTGAGTGAACTCCGGCAAGAAAACCTTCTTGCCTTACTCTTTCATGATTACACATTCTAACCAATCACAGTTAAGCGACTTTTTGTCATCAAACACAAATTTGGCAAGCGCCTTTTGTTAATAAAACATTTATAAAATGTAGCAGCATTATACACTTTTGTGAAGCTACATGTGAGAGAATTATAATGTTATCATTTTCAAATATCTAAATTCAATACTATTGACTTTTCATACCAGAGGTATCCGCATGTCAACTAGTAAATTCAGCTTTGCGCTTAGGCTTCACATGGCCTAGCACTTAGAGACCTAGGATTTATACTGGTTCAGGCAACATGCCCTACGTCCGAGGGACAATGAGTTTAAAATGTCAAGACAGGGTTCAAAGAGTAAAGAATTGAGAGAGGAAGAAGAGGCCCTTGCTACCCCTTACATTACTAAGGGAGCAGGGTCAGTGGCGAAGCTTGACAGGAAAACAAGAGGCAGCAATTATCACTAATTTCTTACTTAATATGCATATTTATTAATTTTAACCACCAATTTAATAGCTACTTAATGGTGTTTTCAATCAGCAAGGAGGGGCCATGGCCCTCTTCCTACATGTAGCTCCGCCAGTGAGTAGGGTTACAGAGGGAGAGAAAAAGGGAGAGTCTTCCATGTTGTGGCGGACACCCCAAGAGTGGTCGAGGCTGTTGTGTGAAGTGTTCCTTCATTAGAGGTGTTGTTCCCATGCGGTACATACTGATCAAGTAGGTGTAATAGTGCCACTATAGTGTCAAGTAGGGTGGAATAGTGTTCTTCTCCACTGCACACCAATACTATGCCACTCCACACCAAGAACGAAGGATCGCTACTTGGAAGGCCACAACACCTTCACTGGAACACCACAACGATATCCAGCGCTCTAGCTCACGGTAACTACAACCACTAAGGCTGCCTACATAAGGATCACTCACATATGTGTGTTTCTTATCTCATGCCTGTAACCAGACTTCTCAAGGGATAAAAGGCACCTAAAGAGACCCCAAGGGTTATTATAGCCATTGCCAAATGTTAGAAAAAGGTGATCCAATGGCAACTTGAAAAATTCACAGAGAGCACAATGCTCTTGCCATCGCTAGACAGTCTGGTGTGCTTTTGCACAATACTCCTCCAATGGTTAGCTTTGGAACCCCAACAGCTAGCTGGCATCATCATTCGGTGATTCTCCAGTGGGTCCATAAAAACCATGACTGGATTTTCCTCCACATTTGTCATCAACACATTGATTCCTCAATAGTCAACACCATTCTAATAATAGTCTAGTGATGATCGAACACCTTGGCCTGACCGTCTTATTGAATGCATCTCAACAGTACCTTCGAAACCCTAGCTTCTATCAATTGTACACTAATTCTCCGGTCCATACAATGTCCATTGTCGGATTGAAAGTGCAATCAAGCCTTAATTATGGGTTTTTGTGATAATGACCACGCAATTAGAGGACTAATGAGATTTATCGAGATGACAAGTAGGGAATATATAATCGAGGATGTTATACGAAACGGAGGTGTCCCCAATTACAAATGTCAATGGCTTCAAACTCAAAGGAGGTTTAAATTCTTTTATATTTTGAATTTAAGTATAGGAAAAGCCATACTATAAAGAGGGACACAATGCTTGAGCTAACATGTGCTACTAAGTGCTCTATCTTACACCTATATTCTAAGTTACTCAGCCAAGACAGCCAACACTTCACTCTTATCCTTGTTGTCTTGCCATGCGCGGCAGTGCCGCACCTGGAGAGAGGGGCAAGAAGGAAAAGAAAGGAAAAGGGAAAGTCGACTCCAACAACAAATATCCTGCCGTATCCTTTAACTATTCCTCTATGCATATGACTAACCTTGATCGAAAGTCTTTCATCAATGTGTCCACGGACAAGTTACCTTATTTCGATGGGACTAACTTTGCCAAGTGAAAGCACTTGATGAGAGCCTATCTTCACTACAAGAAAACCTTCTTTCTATGACAAAAATCCTCATGACGGGGCAAATTTTTGTCATATAATATTTCATAATATGACGCAAAAGTCTGTAGCGTCATAAAATCAGGACCGTCAGAACTATATATGACGATTCTTTTTCTTTTGTCACATAAAGGTACCAAGGATCATCATAAAATATAATTCTTAGGTAGCCTGGCTGACGGTAGTGAATTTAGGACGATATATGAAGTTTTTATGTGACGGCAGTAGACCATCACTGAATGTTTTTTAAATATGACGGCCCCAACGTCAATGTACCCAGCCCAACGCGAGAGAGGGATAAGGCACGCGACGTTGGGCTTGGAGCTAGACCTCAGCCCAGGTGAAAAAGGAGCTGGGCCACCGATGGAGGGAGATAGGCTGGGCCTGAAAGAGTAGGGTTGAGTGACATTTTTTCTTTTTTCCTTTCTTTTTTCTTTTTAATTTGTAAATCCATTTTGAGTTCAAATTCAAGAGCTTTAATTTGTTCAAACAAGTTTAGATGAAGAAATGACCAAGACCAAAGTTGTAGATCTCGATGAGTTGTACAACTTTGTTGTTGCCCACTTTTTCATTTGAAATCATTTTACTATGTCAAAATTCTATTCGGATTTATCAAATTTTTAAACTCAAATTTAAAATTACCCAAACAAATTCGGATGAAGAAATGACCGAGACCAAAATTATAGGTCTCAATGAGTTATATAACTTTGTTGTTTACAACTTTTTTATTTGAAATTATTTACTCTCCCAAAATTCTGATTGAAGTTCTTATATACCGAAGTTCTCACAAATCATATGAACAAGCGCAGTTTTTCTTTTTAATCT